GACGGCCGGCGGGCACGGTCGGGCGCTGTGGCCCCGCGCGATGGCAGGCACTTTGGGGCAGCTTCTGCCGGGTTGGGGGCCACCGGCCCGTCGCTGTCCCCGGGGGAGGGGCGGCTGCGTGGGTGGCAGTGAGGAGTCGCCCAGCGAGAGGCCTTCGACAGGATATTAGTGGAAATAATGCCGTGGTTGTCAGGAAACGCGAGTGCAGCCACATGGCTGCAGCCAGTTATGCAGCGAGGATATCCGGTGGCTGCAGAGTCTGTAATTTAGCATAAAAAGAGCTCTCCGAAGACCGAGGGGCCGGCCTCTGCGCCGCGTGGCGGTGGTGCGCCCGCACCCTGCGTGGAGATCGTCCAGGTTGTGACAGGTGGGGCAGGCGCCTCGGCCCCTCATTCACAGCCTCCGAGACCTGCCTTCTCCCCGTTGGAGTCCGGCAAAATGCAGCTGCCTCCTCCTGGAGCACAGTGGGGTCGAGGACGTGGCCAGTGGCCTGCCATCAGCATTAACAGGATACCAAAAGTCATATTTGGAAGTGACTTTTCTGGTCCCGTTTTAGATGCCCCTAACCCAAAAGTCCGTCTAAGATCTGAGCCCTCAGATCAGCCTTTGCCAAGGGAGTCTGCAACCACGATTTACTGTGGAATCGATTTGCACAATCTGGACCTATTGGCAATCTGAAGGTTTTTAGTTAATGTGCTGCTTCCAGAAGCTGCATGAATTCAGACTGTTGGTGCAGAACAGAGGGCAGGCGGGGGCACACCTGTCATTGCTCCTGGTGCCTGACGGTCTAGACAAGCAGCCAGTAGGACAGATGCCGAAGGACTGAATCCACGGGCAGCTTCTAGAAGGACAGACCACGGTTCTGTAAGCCCAGTCTCACACTGTGTCTAGACTTACTCTAACTGCCTGGTCAGACTTTAACATTTAAGAAGATTAGCATAAATAAAAGTCATCCATGTGAAAGAACAAGAGGCACTTTGCACTCTCCAATCTGAACACCCCCAGGATGCCCCGTGTTCCTTGCCTTTCTCCTGTGTTCTCCACCAGTACCTCCTTGGCAAGGATCCCCAGTCCCATCCCAACCTGTAGCTTTCCCCCTTCATTTCACTTCTCTAGGTCTGCATTACCCCACAGGCTCTGAAGCCTCCCTGGCGACATCGCTGTGCAAGGCTACGTGGACAGCCAGCCTGAGCAATAACTGCACCTTCAAAATTTGTTTATAAGTGAAAGTTCTCTCCCTGGCTTGTTTGTTTTATAATCGGTATTTTTCAAGTCCTCTTAGGACTTTACTACTCAGAGAGAAAAGCAAAGCAAACTGGGAGGACTACCGGGTTGTAGTGAACAGCTTTAATAAAAAGTCGTGGCACAAAAGTTTTTTGCTGACTCTTCAACTATTTTCCTTCTTTACTAAAGGTCTTTCCCACTTTCACCAGTACCACAGAATTATTGGTGTTCATTTGTAGCCAGAAGAACGTGACTACAGATCCTACACAAATGCTCTGTTTTGTTTTGCTCTCCTGCTGAGTATTTTAAGGTCAGTTTTTTTTTTTTTTAAAGTTGTGGACTTGCAGACTTCACAAAGTGGGTAAAGCTACTTGACTGTTGTTCAGAAACCCAAAAGAAAATATCTGCCCTGCCATGGGCTTGCAGAGGGACACAGGACTGCACAGCTGTCTCCTTAGATAAATCTGACCCACTTAGCCCTCTCTGGAGCTACTTTTCACGCTGACTCATTAACAACAGGAAAGCTTTGGCCTGTTAAGCAGCACCCATATTTTGGAGTGAACTGTTCTCCAAAGATGACTCCTGAGACTTTTGTGCTGTATTCCCATTATTCCTCTGCAGTCCTTAGACATTGTCACAGAATATAACAATTGGAATAAAGCCTGGCTAGTAAATACAGCCCAAATGCCTTGTTTCTACAAAAGAAGAAACTGAAGCCCAGAGAGGATGAGAAATGTCCGACTTGTATAAAGAATAATGTAAATGTATATAGGAAATGTTAACTGAAAAAAAAAAATTAATGTGGACCCTCCCCTGTGGCGCAGCGGGTTAAAGCACAGCACTAAGAAGCTAAAGCCACTGCAGCATGAGTTCGATCCCCGCCTGCCCCAGAGGTGACCACATGGTGCAGCAGACCTCTCCTGACCCGCCCCATGCTCCCCTCAGCAGTGTGCTTCATCCATCTGCCTGTTCTGCTCCCCACTCTGTCTCTGGTGAAGCCTCTCACCACCCCTGAGCCTCTGTTCTGTACCCCAGTTCTGTATGCATAAATAAATAAATCTTTTTTAAAAAAATAATGTAACATGAATTAAGGTGATCTGCAAATTATATACATAAAACAACAGTGTGGGAAGGACTGACTGGAGGTATCTTCTTGGAATATATTGATTTTAAATCAGATTCATGTAAATTAATGGCTTTTTAAAACCACACTTAAAATTAACTAAATCTACAGGTATTTTTAAATATGCAAAATGTTGGCTATGCTTTTGACACTGTTTTTGCCTTAGTCCATTTTCTTAGTAACACAGATAAAAACCAAGTAAGTCTATAAATGTGAGTTACAGCTCAATATAGCATACATAAAATTAACAGAGAAGTAGAAAGCTCAAATCACTCAGCCCAGAAAATTTTCGACATTAGCAAGTCACAAAGTATAAAGAGTAAAGGATATACTGTTTTAAGAATAGGGCCTCAATAAATGCTAGTAATGACACTATCATGCATCTTGATACTACATGGGAGCAAGCCTGCCTTTTTATGAATATGGTAAACTTTTTTAAAAAAGATATATTTATGTATTACATAGAAGAACTGGGGTGTAGGCCAGAGGTGTGGGGGATGAGCAGATTTACCAGAGACACAGTAGGGAGCAGAGCAGATGAATTTACTGAAAAACACTGCTGAAGGGAGCAGTGGGCAAGACAAAAGACGCCTGCTGTGCCATAGGTGGGTCAGCTCCCTGGCCTGGGATTGAACTCAAGCCACAGAGGTGAAAGCGCTGAGACTTAACCCATAGGCCACTGTGAAGGCCTGAATATGGTAAACAATGCTAATGCTAGTAATCTATTCATTGTCACCATCATTGGGTAAGTTATCACTCAGACATGTTGGAAATGGGAATGATTAATGAAAATGTACATGTAGCAGCTACCTCATCTGTCCATTAAAAGGAACTACAAAAGGACACCAAGTAACTAAAACAATCCTGAGAAAGAGCAAGGCAGGAGATATCATAGTTCCTGGTTTCAAGTTATAAAACTAAAATAATGAAAACTGTATGGTTTTAGAACAATTCATAGAACCAAGAATTGAGAACCCAGTAATAAACCCACGCATGTTTAGTCCACAATATTTAATAAGGGAGCAAAAACAGTCTTCAATAAATGGTGCTGGGAAAATTGGATATTTACATGAAAAGGAATGCAACCAGACTCTTATACACACACACACCACACACACACACACACACACACACACACAAATTTCAAGTGGTTAAAGATGTTAAGAGACGAAATCATAAAACTTCTAGAAGAAAACGGGTAAATCTTCGATCTTAGTTAGCAATGCTTATCTTTTTCTTCTTTGATAGGACCTCTACAACGCAAGCAACAGAATCCAAAATAAGTGGAACTATATCAAGCTAAAAGCTTGCGCTTAACAAAAGAAGAAAGTGGCCCTCTCTGGTGGCGCAACAGGTTAGGACACAGCACTACAAGCAAACTGCAGCTGCTTCAGTGCGTGTTCGATCCCCAGCCTGGAGGTGACCCACATAGCGTGGCAGACCTCTCCTGTCTCACCTGCTGCTCCCCTCAGCAGTGT